CCCCAAAACCCCAAAACCCCAAAACCCCAAAACCCCAAAACCCCTTTTATTAATTTTGAAGTTGAATAATAAGTCTCATTCTTTGATTTAAATCAGAATTTTCTAATAAACTTGAAACAACTCAATGCTACAATGCTTTTCAGAGATATGCGAAATCGAGGTTGTTATAGTATATCCCTTACTGCAGTTAACTTATCCCTGAAAGTTCTAATAAATCATCTATTTTAATAAAATTTACTCTCTGTTTTAAGCAATGAGACCTAAAAATAATTATTAAGAATTACATTTTTCTGGAAAGAGGCGGTTAGTTTGATATAATCTCGCTAGCTATCTTTTATTAATAGAGCCTTAATACCTCCTTGTTCATAGTATGAAAAGTAGTGATCAACCTGGAAGGTTAGTGCTTGATTTAGAGCATTAGCCAAGACTTGTTTGCACTAATTTTAGAACTTTGTGAATATTGTTTGAGATAAAATTGAACTTACCTTTCTGTGAAGAGAACTCAATGAAAAAGGTAGTATATCTTTCATTTAATAAAAAACTTCTATTGTTTTATCCATATGTCCTTGGTGAAAGATGGAGCAATTTTGAGTTTGGTGTTGGTTCTACAAGTTCTTAAATTTCTCTTCCAATTTTCTCAGAGGATTTTCTTAATGAGATAATGTAAAAATTTCAATTTTAGACAAAAAACAGATTATAGTTGAGATTTTAAAATAAATACAAATCTATTGTGCTAAGCTTGCCTTTAAATAAACTTATAACCAACTGCAAACTTTCTCAGCACTACTTGTTATCTTATAATTCACTAAAAATGTTTTAATATCTAATATGTAAACGAATGATTAAAGCATCACAAAATTCCTAATCTTCCTGCTCCAAATCATCAACATTTCAGAGTATTTCGACTATTTAAAAGGGGTTAGCTAGTCATAACCATCCTCTGGGCTCAGAAGTTCTAATTCCCATTAGTACTATAATTTCTGAACCCTTTTCCATTCAAAATAGCATTGACTAATTATCCTAATTTTCCCATAAACCAGAATTATTAAGGATGATAAGAGACCCCAAGTTCCTGAAATAAAGAGAAGGATACAGTTAATTACTTAGTTATATAGCCAATTTATGTTTCCTTTGGATTTCACTCCTGATGTACTTAGAGTACTTTTCATCCATGCTCTCAAAGATCCTCTTGATTTGTTCTCTCCTTTCACCCACTGTCTGTCTTTTTCAGATTATGATCTTTCCTTTATCAGTATTAAAGTTCCTATCTTTGGTCAACTTTTTCTCCTTTTTGTTGTTCCAAAAGTTTGGAATCATGCTTATTTTCTTGTTAAACAGAGAGAACTTCTTTGGCTTTCTGAAGAATACAGTTTGGGTAATATTTGAGTTCTCCTTCCTATTCGAAAAGTTTAGAAATACAAGGAATAGAAAATTGTTAGAAAGTTCTTAAAACTGAAATATTATTACTAAGAGGAAGCTTTACTAACCTTAACGAGTCCATGATGCTTCTCCTTCTATTCATATTCAGTTTTGCAGAGTTTCTTCACTATATAAAGCATTAGTACTTCATGCAAGAAATGGATAAATGACTTAATAATAAATTGAGATTCCTTAACTTTATATGAAGATTTGAATGATGAGCAGTTCTTCTTTAATGTTATTAAAACTTTTACAATAACTTTGCCACCCACATAGAGTTAACCAGATTGGAGATATGAGAGCAATAAAAATTTAGAAGCTCCAGTCAGAAATTCATTAAGAATTTACAGTTTAATAATAACTCAGCACAAATTGGCAAAAGTGTTGGCATTATACAAGAATGTTTTTAATTTTAAACTTTGCTGAATAATTATGGTAAACCATATTCTACCAATAAAACTGTTTAATGACTTGACTTATAAAGTTCTGAAGGCTCTAACACTATCCTTCGAATAAAAAATCAGATTTTTATAAAAGCTGCAATTTGGTTGATTCATTAAATTGCATGTTTAAAATTTAAATCAGTAAACAACTCTACCAAGATGTAAACTTAAATTTTGAGTAAAAATAGTAATAGGCTAGTAAACAAAGAAAAAGGTGGTGTACGACATCTTCCTCCTTTTAGAGTGAACTGACACCTCTCATAACTCTCTTAAAATACAAATATCATAGTCGTATTTGTTTTATTGGTGATTAGTTATGCCTTTGGAGTTAAGCAAAATTTTACCGAATGCTGATTACTAAGAGAAGGAAGTGTTTATCAAATTTGTAAACAATAATTCATATAAAGCAAAGTTATCGAAATATGGGCGATATTAGTTATGATAACGCTAGTACAACAGCTAAGAGTCTTTTAGCACAAAAATCTCACAAACATGCAAGCATCCTTCTAAAGTTTGAAAAAGAGTTATTCTCCAGCTTATTAAATTCAAAAAAACAAATAATAAGCCTTAAGAGTTGTTTGTACCCGATTTCTTCCCTCTTTATACATATTTTACCCAAACAAGTCTCGGTTGCATTCTTTTCCTTCATTGCAATAATTGTTTGTCACAAAAGATGCAGGTTAAGAGAAAAAGTGAAATTGCTATACTAGTAAAAGTACAGTATAACCTATTGAGAAACTATATTTGCGAGCGTAAAAATATGGTCAACCGGGTAAATCAGATAGTAACGTGTTATTGCAAGTAAGACCAACGATATGTATCAGTATCGCTATCATACCATCTCAAGGCGAGTTATATCAGAATTTTAAAGATGTGAAAACCCGAATAAACATGAAGGAGTTGTCTTTAAAGTTTAGGGAGATCCTATAAACCATTTGTCTAAGGTAAAATACAGAAAAGAGTGTTGATTTTTATTGTTCAGTAATATTTTTGAATAATTTAAAACTTTTACTAGAGTTTAGACATAACAATTCTCCTTCTATTAAGCAAGCATTAGTTATCTTATGCTTTTTCTAAACCAACAAAGATCTCTAATTACTAAAATTATCAACTCTTTCATAGCGAAATTATGCAGAAATTAAGGCTCAAGCTAGAATTAGAATCAATTTTCCATTGCCTTAGATAAGAGCACCTAAATTTCTTCTTTTCAGAGTTTCTTTCTGTATAACAAGTTCCTAGCCCTCGTTTAGACAATCATCTGTGAAATAGCAAAAAGAACTGAGTCAGGGCTAAAAAAAATCAACTCTTTCAGATTTTTGGCGAACATGAAACCTCCAAAAGGGAGATAAGAGGCTGAAATGTTAGAATCTTTTCTTAAGATTCTTTTTTCTTACCTTTAAATCCTTAATATTCTTTTTGAGGCCAAGATTGATAGCTGGAAGAGCTTTGGCAACGAAAGAGGATCTCATTGAAGCTTTAATGCTTTCGAGTCTGATTTTTCTTGTATTTCTTGAACTCATTTTTATTATTTATGATGAAATTTTTTAACTTCTTTATATTATCAAAATTGGATAAGGTCTAAGGGGTTTTGGGGTTTTGGGGTTTTGGGGTTTTGGGG